ATTTCAGGATACACAGTCTGAACCATGAGATTCTCTCTCTCTCTCTCTCTCTCTCTCTCTCCATATATATGTGGCCTCACTGTCAGCTGAATACAAATACAAATGCTATTCACTTTCAATGCTGGGACTGGACCAGGGATTCACACGTTTTCCAATGCAGAAGCACTATTGTTCTGTATGCGCATGTACTCGTCGTCACCCCCCCCCGTGCACTTGTGGTGTGTCCTCAGTAAGAGAAGTTCTGGGCAGGCAGAGTATATCTGAGATCCTTGAAGAAAGGGCATTTAAGCAGGGCTTTGAGATGTGGGGATGTTTGTCCGCAGGCTGTGACAGGGAAGGAACTGGCTTCATCTTCAGATGACACACTGTTCATTCACTGCTCCATCCAGAAGGTACCATCAATGGTAGCTGTCTTCTAAAGCTATGGGGTTTTGTTTTGCTGTGTGTGCGGGTGAGGGAGGGCATGCTAGGAACCAAACACACAAACCTTGTGCCTGTGCCTGATAAGCAAGCACCTACAAGTGAATTGTACTCCAAATCCTTTTAAAAATCTCTCTCTCTTTCTGTCTCTCTGATTTTTTCCCTGATACAGTGTTTCTCTGTGTAACAGTCCTAGCTGTCCTGGAACTCATTCTGCCTGCCTCTGCCTCCCGAGTGCTGGAATTAAAGGCGTGTGTGTGCCACCAAATGGTCCGGCAAAATTCCATTCTTTTTGAGACAGCTGACTGTAGCCTAGTCTGACTTCCAACAGGGTGGTTCTCCTGCCTCAGCCTCCTAAGTGCTGGGACTGAAGACACATCATCACACCCAATGATTCGGCTTATCGATAGGATGTTATGAGCTGGAGACCACATTCTGCCCTACTTAGGTTTCTGTTGCTGTGATTAAACCCATGACAAAAAAACAACCTTGGGGGAGAAAGGTTCGATTTCCTTCCACATCCCAGGTCCCAGTCCATCACTGAAGGAAATCAGGGCAGGACCCAGAGGCAGGAACGGAAGCAGAGGCCGTGAAGGAGTGTTGCTTCCCGGATTGTACTGCATGGCTTGTCGGTTTATTTTCTTAGACCTCAAAGTCCCACATCAATGGGGACTTTAATAAAACATCCTCACAGACCTGCATACAGGCCAATCTGATGGTGGAGTTTTTTTTCCGGTTTTTCGTGACAGGGTTTCTCTGTATTGTTTTGGAGGCTGTCCTGGAACTCGCTCTGTAGACCAGGCTGGCCTCGAATTCACAGAGATCCGCCTGCCTGTGCCTCCTGAGTGCTGGGATTAAAGGCGTGCGCCACCAACGCCCGGCTTGATGGTGGAGTTTTTATAAGTGAGGTCACTCCTCTCCAGAGTGTCAAGTGGACAAAAAACTAACCAGCAAAGTAGTTTTCTGAGGATTAAGTCAAGCTCGACCTCACACTTCATCCACCTTCAACCGCTCCTAATCTCTATGCACATAGGCATGGTGTGCCCAAGCCCTTAATTCCGGCAACCCAAGAGGCAGAGTTAGGTGGATCTCTCTGAGTCGGAAGTCAGCCCATTTTTATCTAATGAGTTCCAGGCCAGTTGGAGCTACAAAGTGAGACCCTGTCTACATGCAGGCTGTGAGGCTCCTCCCTGGAAGTTTAGCTCCCATCTTTTATTCTCGGAGATTCCTGGAAATTTCCCAGCTTTCCAGGGGCAGAGACCCTTCTCTGCTCCTAAACATGATCTTGGGGGCTGCCTGCTGGCTCAGGGTAAGTCTGGGTCCAGTTTTGTTTTGTTTTGAGAGGGTTTCATGTAGTCCAGACGAGCCTGGAAAACTTCCCATGGATAACCCGAGATGACCCAGAACCAATCTTCCTGCCTCTGATCCCCGAGTGCTAGGATAACAGGCACGCATGGAGTCTGGGTCTTCCGGACTCCATTACAGAAGCCAGGACTCCAAGTGGGGCTGACATTATACGTGATTTCAGAAAGAACACGGCTTTGGCATGACTCCTGTGCAAGCAGTGCTAAGGAGACAAGTCTGGGGGAAACAGTGGAAATCAAGAGTGGCCAGAAAATTTTGGCTGCTCAGGAGAGCACAGGAGCTCCAGCTATATTTAAACTCCGAGTCACATGACTAGACTCTACTCAGGCAGGAGTAAAACATGTTTTCTTTTAAATGATTAAACTGAGTTGAACTTCGTTCAACAAGAATTTCTTTCCCTCTGAATTTTTTTTTCAGGCTCGAAAAGCTTTCAAGATGAGAATTTGTTTTCATAAAGAGAAAACTTATGTCAGTAATTTCCAACCTAGACACATCTGTGCACTTGGAACACCCAAATGTCATCAAGTCATGCATTTGGCCCCATCCCCTACATCTGGCTCGTCAAGAAATCCCACTAAAAAGGAAAACGGAAGAGGAGGAGGTGTAAACACTGGCTCCTTTCTGGTTCTCAGGGTAATTCAAACACACCGACACACAGATTTGGTCTCGCGTTCATCCCACTTACGTGGGCACAGGTTTTCTTTCTTTTTTTTTTTCTTTTTTCTTTTGGTTTTTCGAGACAGGGTTTCTCTGTGGCTTTGGAGGCTGTCCTGGAACTAGCTCTTGTAGACCAGGCTGGCCTTGAACTCACAGAGATCCGCCTGCCTCTGCCTCCCAAGTGCTGGGATTAAAGGCGTGTGCCACCAATGCCCTGCTGGGCACAGGTTTTCAATGCCTACTCCTTTGGTGATGAACATAGTCAAATTTCATCCCACAGTTGGGAGAGTTTAGCCTCAAATCCCCCTCTCACGATGGGTCTGCCATCCAGTATGCAACAGGGTTACTGGAAGTCAAAACCAGAGGAAGCTAAACTCGGGGTATTTAAATCACCCTACCTTGGAAAGTGCTGGAAGGGAAGCAGGCAAAAGATCAGCCTGTGGTAAAGTCTTGACTCCTGAGTTATATGACAACAGTTTACTTAAAAATAAAAGCTTTGTTCGTTTTTTTGTTTGTTTTTTTACGAGACAGGGTTTCTCTGTATTGTTTTGGAGGCTGTCGGTCCAGACTTGCCTATAACTCACAGAGATCCGCCTGCCTCTGCCTCCTGAGTGCTGGGATAAAAGGCATGTGCCACCACCGCCCGGCTAAAATAGAAGCTTTGTTCGTTTTAGATAGCCAGTGACTAAAGGCTGGAATCAAGATCAAGGGTACTCCTGCCTCCCCTTTTGTTGTGGGGTCATTGCTTTCTTTTAATTCTTTGTTTAAATACCTTTTGTTTCCCTAAGGTGATAATTACTTGGGGTATTTTGCAGAGTTCTGCTTGTGCACTCTGAGTCTCTGACCGGGGTTGAGGGGAAGGGTGAAGGGCATATAAAGAACAGAGGGGGCCGGGCGTTGGTGGCACACGCCTTTAATCCCAGCACTTGGGAGGCAGAGGCAGGCGGATCTCTGTGAGTTTGAGGCCAGCCTGGTCTACAAGAGCTAGTTCCAGGACAACCTCCAAAGCCACAGAGAAACCCTGTCTTGAAAAACAAAAAAACAAAACAAAACAAAACAAAAAAAAGAACAGAGGGGCGACTGAGTGGTGGGTGTGTACCTTGGTTCTAGTAGGGAGGGTCCCACTCCTCCCTGTGCGGTCTGAGGTCTGATCGCCTGAGCTGGGGCAGTCTAAACACGAGGAAACACGAGGAAGCCACTGAATGGCTGTTTACTAGATCCACTAAAATATTTCCGTGGCCCTGCTTCCACTCTGAGGCTCCAAGAGGCCAAGTAACCTGCCTGCTCCTCTGGACTCTACAGAAGCCAGGCTAAGCCACCAATATTCTCTCTCCACTTCCTCAAACAGCCTGCAGAGTCAGGAAACCCTCTGCAGAAGCATCTCTGAGTTCAAGCCCAGCCAGGTCTACAGAGTGACTTCCATGATGGCCAGAAACGCTGTCTCGAAAATGGGAGGTGATTTCCAGACCACCCTGATCTACAAGAGCTAGTTCTAGGACAGTCTACAAAGGCACAGAGAAACCCTGTCTCAAAAACAAAACAAAACAAAAAACCAAAAATCACAAATCTAGCAGAGCTAGGGTTGCTCCAGGCCCTACAAGCCTTGAGTGGGAACAGTTCAAGGAGACTAAGGAGGCCTGAGCAGCAGTGAACCCGCTAAAGGGTCTCCCCAACCGGAGACCTTTCAGTCTCGAAGTTCACCCTGTTCTTTCCAGGAGTCCAGCCTTCCATAACCCAACCGCCCCAGGTTCCTGTGCGGCCTTCCCTTCCAGATTCACACGCCCACCCCAGACGGAGTCTTAGCTCCAAGCCTAGTGAGTCTTGTTCCAGGGACACGCCCCTCTAGTGTGCCCCGCCCAAGACCCTGGTGCATGCCTCTCAACCTGCTGGCCACCCGGAAGCGCTCCCCTCCCCTGGACATTCTCTCTCCCTCACATCCCTGGTTCTGCTTTTTATCTCTGTCCCCCGCTGACTTTGTCTCTCAGACCTCTCTACCTTGGGTCCCCAGCGACGCCCCTCTCCCTGCACTACTCTGCAACCCCTTCCCCTGATGCAACCCCTTCCCCTGGCATTCCGCTCTGGTGAAAGCATTCCTGTCTTTTGTCCCCAGCTCCCTTCAGCCGGTCTCTTGTTACTCTTGCCCCCAGAATTACTCCCACCCATGCCCCAGAGGCTCCCCCAAACTTCTCCAAGATGATCCCGACACCCCGATTTCCCTCCCACTAGTCCACTCACCCGGCGCTCACCCGTACAACCCGCGTCCTGTTCTGCCTCCTTCCAATACAACCTTATCCCGGCCCTCCTATCTGCTGGGGGGTCTCTTGGACTGTCACCCACACCCTCTCCTCATCCCTCTTACCCCACCCCCAGAATCACCTTCCCCATTTTTCTCCATCGCTCCCATCCCCGCGTTCCCCACGACTCCTCCCGCTCGCTCGTCTCCCTTGGACCCCCATCCTCCGTGACTCCCTCTCCCCCCCAGCCCCCCCTGCTCATCCCTCCATCGCTCACCCCTCCTCGGTCCTCCAGGAATCCCCCTCCCTGCTCCCCGCCCCGTCCCGCCCGCCGTGCTCCCGCCCCAGTCCGGCCCGGCTCCCCGGCTGCGCGCTCCAGGCTGGGTGCGAGCCATGGGCAGCGGCAGCAGCCGGAGCGGCCGGATCCCGAGGCGGCGGCGCAGCCCTGACAGGCGCCAGGCGGGCTCGGGAGAGGCAACCTCGGAGGGCGGCACGGCTGACCAGGCCCGGACGGCCGCGACACAGGAGGAGACCGGCTGCGACGCCCTTCCCGCGACGCCCCCCGGCGGCCGGGAGGAGACCCTGCGCCTGCTGGACCAGTTGCTGGCCGAGTCGGAGGCCTGGGGACCCCAAGAGCTGACCCCACGGGGCCCTGCCCGGCTCCCCCCCGCGGTGAGTGCGAGCGCTCGTCCCTCCAGACTCATCCCTCTGCAGTCCCAGTGCCCTCCCACCCAGGTCTCCCTCCCTACTCTGTCCCCAGCTAACCCAGTGTGCCCCCCACCCCTGTCCGTTCTAGGGCCTTGTGCCCCTTTCTTACCCCTGCATATTCTCACTCTGCCTCCTCGGTGGGTGCCCCGCCACTGTCTCTATTTCGGGGTGACTCATAGAGGCAGCCTTAAAGGACCGAGTACAAACAGCAGTTGGCAGAGACACCTAGAACTTCCTTCTGGTCCGGGGCTTGTCTTGCCTTTTCCAGAGGGGCTGTCTGCATTCCAGCTGTGGCATCCTTGCAGCTCAGGTGGGAATTGACCAGCTAGGGTCTCCTTGGCCATCAGGGGACGCAGTGGGAGAAGGCGATAAGTGTGTGCACCACCTGCCAAACAGTGGTTCGAAAACGCCCTGCCGCGTCGGACGCGTCCGGATCTTTGGCTTGCAATTCCCATATTGCAAGCTATTTTTAAGATGCACTGACTCTTTCGGCTTCCTTATCCTTTCTTGCTGAACACTTGTAATAACACCCCCGCTGTTCTAGAAAAACAATGAAAAACCAGCGCTCTGGTTTGGCACGTCTTTGCTGCTACAGAGCTAAAATTCAGAGCCGTCTTAGTGACTCCTGGCTGGAAGAGGAGGCCAAGTATCCGTAGCCGTAGCCGGAGGCTTCTCTGCCGGTTGCAGAAGCAAGAGGCAGAGAGAAAGTCTTCTTGGGCCGGGCCACCAGGCAAGCATCACCATGGAAAGGCGACTGCGATGGTGGGAAGACAGCTCAGCCCCACCGGGGACAGAGCTCTGTCCCACATCCCTCCTCCCCACTGCCCTGTGGAGGTTTACAACAGGACAAGTGAGCTGCAGTGAATTATATAACGGGATTCCTCTAAGACTACATCAGCCTACAGTTACGTAACACCAACAAAGAACCAACAGTTGGGGAGACTTTGACACAGCAAGGAAACAAATTTTCAGCGTCATTTTCAAGTTCTCAGGGAACTTCAGAAAGTTTGGAAATGGATGCATTTTCCCCTCTATCTTGCTGGATGTCAGCAGGAAGAACAGTCAGAGAGACCGGATCTGAGGGGCACCGCTAGAGCCCTGGTAGGTGGGGCTTGCTGCTTTAGGTAGCAGGGACAAAGACAGGTGCCCAGAGCACTGCCTGGGATGGGGGGTGGGAAGGATCCAAAAATAGATCAAGTGCTGAATGCGGGACTGAGAAGTCAGTCTGATGAGTCCGCAGGAGTAGTGACTGCCGTGCTGGTCCAAGGGCAGACTGAATTGAGTCTGAAGTAGTTAGTCAAAGGAAAGAGCAGACAGCGAGCAGGGAGGGGTCTGCGTACCCTGGTGGTGGCTCGCTTAGCTGTGGTGTAGCAGGTGGTGGTGCACGCTTAGTTGGGGTGTAGCTGGTGGTGGTGGCTCGCTTAGCTGGGGTGTAGCTGGTGGTGGTGCTCGCTTAGTTGGGGTGTAGCTGCAGAGGTCTTCAGCATCTACCTATGTCTTGTTACTCTGCTGAGAAGGAAGTGAGTATTTGAAGGAAGTACGGTTTTGGTGTTTTGGGGAGATAACTCTACAACAGGAGAAGGGTGAGTTAGACAGAAGAAAGCTTGGGACACCATGATCTACCAGGGTTATTCTGGCTGTCCAACTGATCAGGTTCTGGACCCAAGTAGTAGCAGAGTGGGGGGGGGAAGGAGGGGGGATGGAGAGGGTGGGGTAAGGTAGGTTCAAGAAATAAAGTGTGGCCGGGCGTTGGTGGCACACGCCTTTAATCCCAGCACTCGGGAGGCAGAGGCAGGCGGATCTCTGTGAGTTCGAGGCCAGCCTGGTCTACAAGAGCTAGTTCCAGGACAGCCTCCAAAGCCACAGAGAAACCCTGTCTCGAAAAACCAAAAAAGAAAAAAAGAAAAAAAAAAAAAGAAATAAAGTGTGTGCCGGATGGTGGCGGCGCACGCCTTTAATCTCAGCACTCCGGATGCAGAGGCTTGAGAAAGAAAGAAAGAAAGAAAGAAAGAAAGAAAGAAAGAAAGAAAGAAAGAAAGAAAGAAAGAAAGAAAGAAACTGTGAAGTCAGAGCAGTGGTTACTCTTTTTGGGGACAGTGTGCCTTAGATGTGTCCCTGTGCCATGAATGTTTCTCAAACTAATGATGAATCCTAGAGTCCTAGGAGAGTATTCAGGTCCAGAGAGACAAAAATTAGGAGGCGAGGCCCCTGCTTCTAAAAACACTGCCCATGTTAGAGCTTGGAACTAAGGCACCTGCTCACATCTGCAGCTGATTCCCTCAGCAGCTGCACATCTTACAGGACTCTGCATTAGTGACTTCCCGCGGAGACAAAAAGAATTGCAAGTTCAAGAACAAGCTGTGGAAGGCAGCCTTCCTTCAAAATGTTTGAGAGAATGTCCAAGCAAAAAGGACCCTCTGGTGGAGCATGAACACACTATTCCTATTCTTTTATTAGGAAAGAAGAAAAAATTTCCTTATATTCATAACCTTGTAACACTTAGGAGCTTTATGTTTTGTTTCTATAAGAGAAAATTCAAAATTAAATGACCATCTTTTTTCTTTTCTTTCTTTTTTTTTTTTTTTTTTTTTTGAGACATGGTTTCTCTGTATTGCTTTGGAGCCTGTCCTGGAAACTCGCTTTGTAGACCAGGCTGGCTTTGAACTCACAGGGATCCACTTGCCTCAGTCATTCTGAGGTTTTCCTGCTATTGCAGAGGACCTGAGCTCAGTCAGGCAGCTCACATCTCCCTGTTAAGTCCCTCCAGGGGATCTGACGCTCCTTCTGGTCTCTGAGACACTGCACTGATGCTCAAATCCACACAGATACAGGCACAAATAATTAAAAGCTAAAACTAACAACAAAAGATAGTTTTAGCTAATATTTTAGTGAGTACTTAAGTCTCAGTCATGTGTTAACTCTTTCCATGTTCACCCACATTTTTGATATATTTTATTTTATTATTATTTTTTTGTTTGTTTGTCTTGTTTTTTGAGACAGGTTTTCTCCGTGTCTTTGGAGGCTGTCCTGGAACTAGCTCTTGTAGACCAGGCTGGCCTCGAACTCACAGAGATCCGCCTACCCGTCTCCCGAGTGCTGGGATTCTATTTTTGTTTAAAGATTTACTTATTAGCCGGGCGTTGGTGGCACACGCCTTTAATCCCAGCACTCGGGAGGCAGAGGCAGGCGGATCACTGTGAGTTCGAGACCAGCCTGGTCTACCAAGCGAGTTCCAGGACAGCCTCCAAAACCACAGAGAAACCCTGTCTCGAAAAACCAAAAAAAAAGAAAAAAAAAAAAAGGAAAAAAAGAAAAATAAAGAACTCCTAGACAGTACCAGTGTGTCTGCAGTCAAGACTAGAGCAAAGATCACACCCCTAAATAGCATGAAGTGGCGTTGTGATTGAACATCAAGGAGAGTGAAGCATAGATAGGGTTGACTCAGACAATGCTGGGAAGGAAGGAGTCCACGCTGCAACAAGGAGGAAGTCCACGCTGTAACAAGGGGGAAGTGCACACTGCAACAAGGAGGAAGTGCGCACTGCAACAAGGAGGAAGTGCACACTGCAACAAGGAGGAAGTCCACGTTGCAACAAGGAGGAAGTCCACGCTGCAACAAGGAGGAAGTGCACACTGCAACAAGGAGGAAGTCCACGTTGCAACAAGGAGGAAGTCCACGCTGCAACAAGGAGGAAGTCCACGCTGCAACAAGGAGGAAGTCCACGCTGTAACAAGGGGGAAGTGCACACTGCAACAAGGAGGAAGTGCGCACTGCAACAAGGAGGAAGTGCACACTGCAACAAGGAGGAAGTCCACGCTGCAACAAGGAGGAAGTCCACGCTGCAACAAGGAGGAAGTCCACGCTGCAACAAGGAGGAAGTCCATGCTGTAACAAGGAGGAAGTCCACGCTGCAACAAGGGGGAAGTCCACGCTGCAACAAGGAGGAAGTCCACGCTACAACAAGGAGGCTCTGGGAAAGGAATGCCCCACAGGAAAGACAGCACCTAGGAGCGGAGCGTGATCAAGGAGGCCTCAGCCAGAAGTGTCTGCAGTGTCTCCGATGAGCAAGGGAGCACTACAGGAGCCCAGCCCTTGGTAAAAGGGCGGGACATTCCACTGGGGAACACAGAGGTGGGAACCCACTTCTATTTTCTCTCAAAGCCAGGCCGTGATGGTGCTGGGAGGTAGAGGTAGGCAGATTTCTGTGAGTTGGAGGCTAGCCTGGTCTACATGGGAGTTCCAGCCAGCCAGGGCTATGTAGTGAGATTCTGAATAGAAACAATTTTAAAATTGAATGAAAATAGAAAGGCAGATCCTCCTCTCAGATTTTAGGGGCAGGATCCTGGGAGATTATAGCAACAGTAAACCCTTCAAAAGCCAGATGTGCAGTTAGTTCCTAGGGATGGGAGGCACAGATGACCTTGATCCCCCCCATAGTGGTCCCAGTCCTGTTAGGGTCAGGAATGGAGTCTCATGTGCCTCGCTCGCTATTGGGGTCTGGCGGTAGTTATGGAAGCTTCCTGTGAGGCCACTAACACTGACCACCATGCTGGAAGACCAGTGCCCTCTGGTGGTGAAGAGTGGCGCCTGCCTGGCAAAATCTTGAAACCTGCTGGCTGGTGGATTAGGTACTGGAGGTCCCTTAATGTTTTTCTGTCTATCATGTGTTCAAGTGTCCACCTTGAAACAAGCAAACAAACAAACAACCCCCCAAATTAAACAAACCACCACCGCCGGGTTGGTAATGTATATTTTACCACAGGTAAAGTGGTTTATTTTCTTGGGGTTTTGCTTTCTTTGGTATTTAAGACAGGGTCTTACATAGCTCAGGCTGGCCCTAAATTCCCTTTGTAGCTGAATATGTCTTTGAACTCCTGATTTCCCTGTCTCAGCTTCCTGAGTGCTGGGATTACCAGCTTGTGACACTAATCCCAGCTAGACTATTAAAAATAGTATTTATGTTGGGTGGTGGTGGTGCACACTTTTAATCCCAGCATTTGGGAGGCTGAGGCAGGCAGATTTGTTGAGTTTGAGATCAGCCTGGTCTAAAAGAGCTAGTTCCAGGACAGCTTCCAAAGCCAGAGAAACCCTGTCTCAAAACACCCCCAAGGCAAAACAAAATACTATTAACATATTTGTAAGTGTATGTGCCTGTGTGTGTTTATATGCACAGCCTGCAGGCCGGTGCCTGTGCAAGCCAGAAGGCAGCACTGGATCCCCTGGGGCTGGAATTACAGGAAGTTCTGAGCTGACATAGAGATTCCATAGCCAAACCCAGGCACTCTGTAGCCACGGCAAGCACTTGCTCTTAACCACAGTATTAAGGCTCTCTGGAGTAGCAGAACCCACAGAATGGACCTGTATATGTAAAGAAAGGGGGTTTACTAGAGTCGCTTACAGGCTATGGTCCAACTAATCCAACAGTGGTGGACTATGAACGCAAAGTCCAAGAGTCTAGAAGCCGCTCAGCCCACTAGGCAGACGCTGGAATTCTAAAGAAGCAGACTCTAGAGCTAGTGAAGGAGCGGGCTTGTTAGCAAGGCTAGAGCAAGCAGGCAAAGAGCAAACGCTCCCTTCACCCACGTCCTCACAGATGGCTCCAGCAGACGGTGTGGGCCAGACTAAAGATGCCTTCCTGCCTTGATATGGATCAAAGTGTCCTCCTACCTCAAAGATCCAGACTAGAAGCAGATTCACCCGCTTCCAACCAAGCAAAACAATATCCCACAAGTGTGCCCTCCATTTCTGGATTGTAGTTCATTCCAGATGCAGTTGGGTCGACAACCAAGAACATCTGGCACTAAAGCAAAACAAAGCGGGACTGGAGAGATGGCTCAGAGGTTAAAAACACGGGCTGCTCTTCCAGAGATCCTGAGTTCAATTCCCAGCAACCACATGGTGGCTCACAACCATCTGTAATGAGATCTGGTGCCCCCTTCTGGCCTACAGGCATATATGCAGACAGAATGCTGTATATATAATAAATAAATCTTAAAACAAACAAACAAGAAAAGCAGGGCATTGGCGGTGCACATCTTTAATCCCAGCACTTGGGAGGCAGAGGGAGGCGTTCGAGGCCAGCCTGGTCTACCGAGCAAGTTCCAGGACAGGCTCCAAAACAATAAGAGAAACCCTGTCTTGAAACCGCCCTCCCCCACCCCAAAAAAGAAACTTCAAATATCTTTCCCAGGTGCTGGGAAGATGGCTCAGTGGGTAAAGTGTCTGCTGTGTGAACATGAGGACCTGAGTTCAGGTCCCCAGCACCTATGTAAAATCCAGGTATGGTGGCGTGCACCTGTAACCACAGTGCTCTAGGGATTGAGAAAGGTATTCCTGGAGTTCACCTGCCAGCCAGTTCAGCCAGTCTTTGTGCTCTGGGCTAAAAACAAAGGCGAAACAATAGAATGTAGAGCTATAGAGGAGTACACTTGACTTCAGCTGTGCACATGTATCCCTCTCTCTCTCTCTCTCTCTCTCTCTCTCTCTCTCTCACACACACACACACACACACACACACACACACACACACACACACACCCCGCGACTTTCCCCCAGAATAGGCGACAGTTGATAAAATTTTCAGTTTACTCTGATGGGTTCTAGAATTAGAATTATGTATTCAAAACGGCTCTTGCACACCCTTGGGGCGTTCTGACTACCGTCTGCAGTTGTCACTGAGCAGCCTACTGCCACCTGACTCGTCTTGACTCAAGGTGACCGTCTTTACCTGAGCTTTTTGTCCTAGAAGCTTTTACAGGTTTTTTCCCCCTTATCTTTGTATCATTGTCCCTTCAAACTGCTATAACAAAATTCTTTAGGCTAGGCTTTGGAGCCTGTCCTGGAACTCTCTCTGTATACCAGGCTGGCCTCGAACTCAAAGAGATCCACCTGCCTCTGCCTCTGGAGTGCTGGGATAAAAGGCGTGCGCCACCACTGCCCGGCAGGCTGGGCTACTTATAAGCAACATAAATACTGTTCACACTTCTTTTTAAAAAGCGTAATTGTTGCTGGGCAGTGGTGGCGCAAGCCTTTTATCCCAGCACTCGGGAGGCAGAGGCAGGCGGATCTCTGTGAGTTCGAGGCCAGGCTGGACCAACAGCCTCGAAAACAATACAGAGAAACCCTGTCTCGTAAAACTAAAAAAAAAAAAAAAAAAGAAAAAAGAGTAATTGTTTTAGTTGTTTAAATAAATATACGTATGTATATTTTGAGACTTTGATACAAGTTCTCACTCTTAAGCCTAGGCTGGCTGTAAACTGAGAGCAATCCTCCTGCCTCGGCTTCCCAAATGCTGGGATTATAGGTATGTGTCCAGGTTAAACATGGGTATTGATGCACACTTGAAGAAGGGGGGCTCAAGGCTCTTGAGGCAGGGAGACATGATCTCTAGAGTTGGGACTAGGATGGTCTCATGCTACATAGAGGCGAGGGACAGAGGGACCTAATCAGAGGGAATAGTTGGGAGGCCAGAGATCTTCCCTCAGCCCTGCTGTTTTCTCTTCTCATTCACCTATTTATGAGTTTTATGAGTTGCTCTCACAGCCTCAGTTTTCTTGACTGTAAAACTGGGGCTCCAGAGTCAGAGAGAACCTTCCCCACTATGATGTTTACAGACCCTGAGTTAACCGTGGCCGGAGGCTGCTGTCTCTCCCACAAAGCTAGAGTGTTGATCCATTATACTGGTGGCAAATTTTTATGCCTCTTCCTCTCCTCCTGCTCAAGGTGTCCCCAGAAAAGAAGACCAAGGACAACTCCGAAGACAGCTGTGCCTCTGAGTAAGTATGGGGGTTGGTACATGTCCTCCACAAGCCACCTCAAAGCTTTCCAGTCCCTACTGTCCCCACCATCCTACAGGTCAGTGAAGCTCACATAGAGCTGAGCTCTCAAAGGGAGCCAAGGGTGATGGGGGAGTCCTGTGTATATGTCAATAAAGCACTGTTGGCCAATAGGGAAGCAAGATAGGTGGGATTAGGAGTCCAGGAAGACTCTGGGTAGGAGAAACACAGAGAGTCACGATGTAGCCTGCCGGAGAAGTAAGATGTCTGGAACTTTTCTTCGGTAAGAGAAATACTTAGATTAACAATTATGGGATAAATACTTAAGTCAGAGCTAGCCAGTAAGAAACAAGCAAGGCCAACAGCTTCATAATTAATATAGCGTCTTGTGTGTTATTTGGGGACCACAATGCGGCAGAGCCCAGGCGGCTGGCAGGGAAAAGGCTTCTCTCTACACAAGGGAGGTGGCGGCAGCCCAGTCACTCACAGCCGCTCTGAGCTTCCTCTTCTGTGTGGTCATGACCTGGCTTCTCTGTGGCCATTCTGGACCCTTCAGGTTTATTCAGATATACTCAGGTGTCCTGCCTGCTATACCAGGGTTTTTTTTTTTTTTTTTTTTTTTTGGTTTTTCGAGACAGGGTTTCTCTGTATTGTTTTGGAGGCTGTCCTGGAACTCACTCTGTAGACCAGGCTGGCCTCGAACTCACAGAGATCCGCCTGCCTCTGCCTCCCGTGTGCTGGGATTAAAGGCATGGGCCACCACCGCCTGGCTATACCGGGGGTTTTATCTGTACAGACTGTCTGTCCTTCGCTGTAAGGACTTCACAGTCTAGACGGTGACAATAACCACCGGTAGCTCCAAAAGGTCATCACGAAAATGTACTTAAAACTCCTGCAAGTTTCATACTTGGTGTTGCCAGGCCGGTGGCTCAGTACTGGGGAGGCAGAGGCAGACGCAGGAGTTCCAGGCCAGCCAGGGCTACATAGCGAGACCCTGTCCCAAACAAACAGACAAACAAAACACCCACCACAAAGCCTGCAAGTAGTGGCCCAGAGCCCTTACTCCTCCAAGGATACAGTCCAGCGGTAGCGTGCTTCCCCGGCACGCACGATGCCTTAGAATGACTGCCCAGTACAGAGATAAATGGGCGAGGCAGCAAGCGGGCTCAGCAGGTAAAGGTAATAGCCACCAAGTCTGACTGACTACCTGAGTTAAATCTCCAGGAGCCACGACAAAAGGAGAGAACCACGCAGCAAGCCGTCCTTCAAACTCTATTGTGCGCCACGGTGGCACGGGTGCCTATACACACATGTACACACTCACATGTAAAACACACACACACACACACACACACACACACACACACACACACACAAGAATGTCAGTGCTTCTAGGCCGCTAGAGCACAGGGGCCATTGTCAGCCTCTGGTCCATGTCTCTCCTGCCCCTTCCTCTCTGTGGTACCACCTGCAGGAATGGTAGCATGCCTAGTGGGAGCAGACAGTGTGCGGGAGTCTGCAGCCCGTCTCCAGTGACCTTGGATACCATCCACACTGAAGGTTTTCAGCTTTCACACCTGTTAGTGCCAAGGACTGGCATGGGTAACCCGACCTGGAGGGGCTTGTTCCTGTCAGGGGACTCCAGAATGCACTGGCAATCGATCGGGCAGGACAGCCAGCTTCCTGCACAGCTCCCTGGCCTGGTTAAAGGCATGCTGAGCCCTTGGTTTGGGATCCTTTTCCTCTAACAGCAGTCAGTAGAGACTCCCCAGGCACAGGCCGGAAGGGCAGCCACTACCATTGTTCCGAGCTTGCAAGGCTGCAGGCAGCTCTCACGCACTTCCTACTGTTCAGTCTCTCCTAAGTGCCCGACTCTGTTTTAGACACATGCAGCCCTTCAGTCGGTCCTGAGATACAGCCCTTCCTTCTTATTCATGGAGACTGGTCCAGGACCATAAATCTGCTGTGCATCAAAGCCAGCTGAGAACCGCCTCCTCAAAGCATTTGGACGTTCCCCTTTGCCCCAGAGACACAGTGGGAAAGACAAACGCTGGGACAACAGGCAGACTCAGGGTATCAAGCAGTGGCATCCAGGCCTCTCACTCCATGCTTTGGGAGAAGTGTACAGAGCCCTGGACGCTGTTCTTGGAAGGTCAGCCAGGAACATCGGATGGACCCTGGCATCTACCTTGGCCTGTCTCACCCTGGTTGCAGGTCTTGGTGGGTAAAATGGGAGGATGAAGGCAGATATGAGTGAAGATGACCATGTCTATGTGTTGGGTAGGGAAGAGTCTCCGTTGTCTCCAGAGCAGAGGTTCTTCGTTTGGATGTTAGGATGGACCACTTCAAGACCACTGTGGTTGCTTGGGGAAACGGGAGTTTGGATGTACTGCTCATCCTTGTCTGCATTTCTCACCCACAGAGCTGCAGGCAGCAGCCACAAGAGACCCGAGGGGCAGTCAGCCATCTCCTACGATTACTCCGAAGAGGAGCTGATGGCGAGCATCGAACGGGAGTACTGCCGCTGAGCTGGCTGAGCAGCCCTGCTCACCCTGACCAGGCCTCGAGGGTCTGTGAGCTGGGCTAGAGTCAGAGGGTACCACCCTGCCCACGACCCCAACAGAGCAAAACCAATTCTAGAATACAGCCATCTTTCCAAACTGATCTTTAAAGATTCGGGGTCAGAGTCCTGCCACCGGCCTGGCAGTCCAAGACTAAGGGCAAGCAAGTTGTGGGTCCTCCTCTCACACAGGGGACGCCTAGCTGTATGGTTCCCCTCAAATCTGAACTGCTAGTCCTTTCTACTTACTCACTTTCCAGGTGGGGAAGTGTCAACCCCTCTTGGCATCTGTGCCACAGGCTTCTAGAAGGTTCTACCAAGGTTTGTTCTTGGTCTTTATACTAAGATTTCTCCAAAGGGATACAGTTAACTCTATGTGTATCAGTTTCCACGTGCACACAGAGGGCTGGGGCATTTGGCTGGAGGCAGGTCCTGAGCCTGTAGGTCTAGGTGGGTCCAGAGACTGCATTTCTAACAGCACAGAGGTAAGAGCAAACTGCAGGTGCAAGGACTGAGGGTCTGCATTTCAGGCTTTCCCTCCCTCGGCCTCTCCCCTCCTCATGCTGGAGGCTTCTCCAACAGCACACCAGCCTGCCCTGCTTGGGTGCCGTAGGAAGAGAGTGCGGCCCAAGAGCCACACACCGCTCTGGCATCCCAGTATCACATGAGCTTGTGGTGGGATGCAGCTCTCATGGATTCCTCCTCTGGGCCTCAGTTTCCCTCTGGGAGAGAATCCTGCAGGTTCTTTGAGGACTTTAAGCCCCACCAGCCTGGCAGCTCTGTCTTCTAGTCCGGCATCCCAGTTGCCACTGTTTTAGCTGAGTGCAGAATGGTACAGGTCTTCGTGACAACTGCTCTCTGCTTTCCCTTTGCCTGGCAGTCTGGCGAAAGGCTGTGTGGAACTCTTCTCCTCCTCCCTGCTCGGCTGGAAGGCAGTCACAATAGTGCCAGAAGAGCTCTCAAACATTCCCTGTAGACAGAGGGGGAAATACAGGGAGCCTATGGGAAGGAGGGAGGGGCTTGTGTGGGTCCTGTAGGGCCTGGGTCTTGCTTAGGTGTGTGGAAGTGCCCGAACAGTTGATGAGGATGCTGGCAGAAAGGGCTCATAGTGAGTGGTGGCATATGCTTGCAGTAGTCATCAGGCCAGTGCTAGAGGGTTATTGCCAACTGAAGGCTACACAGAGAATTCAAGACCCGCCTGGACTACGTAGTGGGATGCTGTGTCAGAAAACCAGTAGAGAATGAGGGAATGGCTGCAGCTTTTGCTGAGGCCAGAATAGTTCTCAGCTTATGTTGCATTCCTATACCAGTATCCTCCCTCTCCTGAGAACTGCTGCCAGCCCTCAAATCCTCAGAGTTCAGCCTGGAGCATCTCAGGAACCAAGGAAGAATGATCACCAGGACCATCCCCACACCCACGTCCCTTTGCCGTCATCTGCAAATGATTCCATGAACTCTTACGACTTGACAAGTGTGCCTTTGAGTTCACAGCTGGGAGAATTGGGCTATGGTGGGAGCCCAGAGCCAGAGGGTGTCTACCAGTTGGCTGAACCTTGGGTCAGCAGCTCCCAGAGCTGAAGCTGTATCTCACCGGAGCTCAAACAACTGCTTTTGATATCAGTTTCTATTTTAATACACCAACGCAAATGTTACTAATGCTTATTATAAAATGTTAAAATGATATGTTTCAACCAAAGGGTGACTCGGGCTTTGAACTCAATGTTGTGAATATTTACAGCTTTATGTAATAGGTGCGTTCATCTGATTAAGAGAAAGGTAGGAGCCGGGAGGTGGTGGCACATGCCTTTAATTCTAGCACTTGGGAAGCAGAGGCAGGTGGATCTCTGAATTCCAGCCTACTTGATCTACAGAGGGAGTCCAGGACAGCCAGAACTGTTACACAGAGAAACCCTGTCTCCAAAAACAAACAAACAAACTTCCCTCAATTCCAAGGATGTCCGGAGCAAGTGTGTGCCACCTGGTGAGCTGTGGTCCTGGGAAACCCAGGCTCTGGAGAGGCTGGTCCTGCTGGGTGGAGTTAGGTATCACTGCAGCCCACAGGAGCACTTCCTGCACCGCCCATGTGCCAGGTGCCCACCACGCCCATACTGCACAGCTGCTTCGTGGTTAGTTACCCACATTGTCTTCTCAGCCACATGCCCAGCTCTAAGCTGAGCGTGGGACCTGCCAACACACACAGCATGAGCTGACCCTGGTTCCCATCACAGAAGGTCCAAGTAACCACAGATGGCCACCGGTTCCGCAGCAGGTCTCCCCAAGAGTGCCAAGGCTGTGCTTGAGAACACTTGAGCCCTTCCAGTCAGAAATCATGGGTAGGCTTTCTGGACGGAGGGGCAGAGCCTTGAGACATCTCCAGGCCACTGTCTGCTTGTGTGCTCGTGGGGCCTTGACTCAGCTCGGAAGGGGTCTCCCACACCAGCAGGGCTGGCCAAAACTGCCTGGGACAAGCTTTTAGGGCGCTCTTTTCTGATCTTCCCAATTCCCAGAGGTACTTCATTTCCTGGAACGATGCCCAGGCCCCTGCCTGGGAGTCCCACTCATGGTAATTTTGGGATTCATGAATGGATGTCACTGTCCCCCACAGGGGGCTCCCCCCTCGCTGGGTTACACTCTGAGATCAGCTGATGAGTGTCAGGGCCATGGGGGTATTTTCCTCCTGCCACAAGTTGGACAGAAATAAAATGTAATCATTGTTTTTTTTTTAAAGGGCCAAGAAGATGGTCCAGCAGGTAAAACACTCGATGCCAACCAAGTCTGACACCCTGAGTCCCACCCCCAGAGGGCACAATGGCGCGTTAGAAGAAGCAACTGATGCAGGTTGTCCTGATTCCCACATGCACGGATGTCACGGCATACATGCATACACACCACATACACTCTCCCCTCTCCCTCTGCATGTATGAACATGGGGGATGAAGGTGTCCTTGGGTGATTCTGGGCATTAAAGAGCATATACACATTCTATTTTAAAGCATTTTTATCACATTTTAATCCATGGGTGCACATACGTGTCTGCACGTGTAGTGCATGGGTGTGCATACCGGGGTGCACGTGTGGGGGTCAGAGGACAACATGCAGGAGGTGCTTCTCTCCTCCCACCATGTGGATTCCAGTGAGCAAACACATCTCCAGGCTTGGGGACAGGTGTCTTTACCCACTGAGCCCTCCTGCTAACCCATAAGCCACATATTAGACTCTGGAGGCTAGTCGCTTTCTCTGGGAAGGCAGCTCTATAATTAGGCCTTTTGAGGTGCTGGCCTGAACCGTGGTGTACACTCAGGCCTTGAGAGGCAAGAAGGAACTGTGTCCTGGTGTAAAGAAATCCTCCTTTTGTGGGCTGTGGTGGTGCACGCCTTCATCCCAACACTCAAGAGGCAGAGGCAGGTGGATCTCTGAGTTCTAAGCCAGCCTGGGTCTACAGAACCAGTGAGTTCCAGGACAGCCAGAGCTACACAGAGAAGCCCTTTTCAGTGTTGGCGAGGAAGCGTTGCCCTCTCTGGGACATGGAACATTGGGAAAGACAGAAGCGCTTGAGCCCCCAGAGGTGCTTGGCCCGAGGGTTGCAGCCCTAAGTTGTTGGTGCCTCAGGATGGGCCCCACAACCGGACATCCAGGAACTGAAGCAGCATATGTGGTGGCCTGTGGCACTAGGGAAGTTGACAGAACTTCCCAAAGCCAGTTACAACTCTCAACAGTGACATCGTGTGGCCATGAGAAGCAGTGGCGGCTTAGACATCAGCTGTGTCTTGGGAGAAAGTCTGAGTCCAGCTGGGAGCTAACAAAGCCCCTAGGGGTTAGGCTACCTCTTGGGGAGGGAGGCAAGGTACGTGCTTCTCTTCCCCAGGGCAGCATCTGGGTGAAAGCGGGAGAGTATAACCCTGCTGATCCCTTTAGTTAGCAATGCAGATTCCTGCAGGAGCAGTTCCTTTTGTGTAGGACAGACAGAAGGGGGCACGGTCCATGTCAGGCTTTGTGCAGCGAGGCCCTGGAGGGGTGAGGTGGACTACATGTCTGGGAGACACAGATAGGGGGTAAGCCACTCAGCTGCTCACAAGAAGGGGGAGCTGACTGGAATCACACAAAGATAGCCCCAGGTCAGTCTCTGTCTACAAGAGCCCAGCACCAACAGGGGAGCCCTCACCCTGCTCTCCAGCACAGTCTCTGGGACTCAGCTCCTGCTATGTCCCAGGGGCATTAGCGCATTGCATTGCAAAATCCAGCCGGATGCTAAGAGGCAGGGAGGGAAGACACCCAGGGAATCTCTGTCTTGACCTGCTGTGGATGGGAGCTGGTTGGTATGTGTGGGGACGGAAGCTAGTCTCCATTAGTCTGTGTCAGATAAATATGGAAGTCTTATTACTATCGTTAATGTTCAAACTGCCACATCTCAGGTGTAAGAATTCTTATGAATTTGACCTTTTTTTTTTTTTTTTTTTACTGTATTGCTTCCTCCAGAAACAGATTAGAGCCCCGCAAAATAAGAGTTGGAGTTAGGCCAATACATGATGACTCTTCCAGATTCATATGAAGACTGTGTGCATTAAGTCACTGGACACAGTTACACAATACAGCACATAAGTCCTAGTCTGCAAACCAAGAAAGTTTTATATGATTCAAAGCAAAAGGTTACATTATACATACTCATTTAAATAAGTCAAAGTCTGTTACATAAAACATAAGTATTGGAAACATTTAAATTTTTATTACTAAACTACCAAAAGACTCAGAGGTTAAAAAGAAAAAGAAAATCAAGCAGAACTGCTCAAACGATAAAGTGCACTGGGGGGGAGGGTGCCTCACCATGGGGGGTCAGGGAGGACTCTCAAGGGAGCAGCGCCCCCCTGGGCTCTGGGGTTCAGGAGTCCTATTCGAAGGAATTGTTTTCCAACTTAGTCTTTCAGGGGCTCTTCCGCAGAAGGGGTTTCTACATCTAATCAGGAAATGGAACCCTAATGGTATTTCACCACACTGGTTACTTTAGAAACAATACTGGTCAGAGAATGAAATCCTATGTGATGAGTGACTGAACACTCCAAGACCTTCCGTTACCCACAGAGACACCAGGACAAGGAACATCACACTCTGCATGTCACAATGAACAAAGACACTCGTGTTGGATGCCATTTAAACCATTTGCACAATCATCAGAGTGGCGCACAGGACCAGGGTACTGGGACATTCATGAGCTATGTACAGTTAGTTCTCCTGTGGCCACCTTATGTTGAAACACAACTGACTGGAGAGCTGTCCCGACATTTCCTAAGAACACACACACACACAAAACTTTGAGGCTACCAAAGGCAGCTTAACAGGAATCAAGTAACATACAATGTATAACCTCGTGAAGGTTCATAAGTCGCAAAAGACATGAACACAAAACCTCATTTATCAAATGAATATTTCAACCTTGCCATCATTTAAATAGTTAAAAGCCAGTATTAAAGGGCAAATACAAAATCTAATACAACACCACACAAAAATATTTTCAGGCTGCCCAAACAGTGCAATATATTGTTGTCTCTTACTGTATTGCCTGGACTTCCCAACATTTAATTAAAGCCAGTTTTTGGCCACTATATGCAGGGCACATCTCACAATGCATAAAAGCAACGCCCATGATGTCTTCAGGTTAGCTACAAAATCCCCATTGCAAGACTTCTCATCTGAGCGACATCATTTCCTTCCCACACAGTGAACAGAAGGGCAGCTGAGTGGCCTCCCCTGCCATTTAGCGAACATGAATTTCTCAGAGTTTTGTCCTTAATTAAAGAAGGCATCCGAACCCCAGGGGCCACTGTGCACAAGCACCTTGCTTTGTGTTAAGTTGCACTTTGGAGGAGGGTTTATCCAAGCAGCACAGACATTTGCTTTCCTCTGTGTGGTCACTGAACCATCATGCAGTACAAAACCACACCTGAAGCCAACTGACAATCCACAAAGCTCGGTGCCCTAATTCATGTTTCTTGGTGCTGAAGTATAGACAGGCCATGGGATCATTTGCTCTCAGCCAACAAATGGCTCACAAGTCAACATCACGCAGTGACCCCTGGCTCAGCCAGTCAGCAGTCCAGGCAGGCCCTCCACAGGGACATCAGACACGTGACTAGCTCTACCCAACCACATTTAATTTCGTGGGCTACAGGACTGACTGCTACAACTTCCCCTGAAACTGACACAAAAAGGCTGACTACAAAGTTTATTTTTTCCCCTTTAAGAGCTCTTTATTCAACCAGTTCTGATCTAAAACATTTGCTATAAAAGGCTGGTAACAAATTTGTGATTTTGATTTTTTTTTCCTGACCAACTTAAAGCAGGGTCATTACAAAACTTTGTTATAAAACACTGGAAAAAAAGGAGGTTGTAAAACTGTCTAACCAGAAATTGGTGATTTGAGCACAATATAAATATTTTTATAAAAAAGTATAAAAATTAGTACCCTGTCTCATTTCTACAAAACACAGAATAGAAAGGCTGTAAAAAAAAAAAAAAGCCAGACTCTGTAAACTTTATTGCCGAAATATTTGTTTGAATGCTGGTGATTTAGATCAAATTTTCTTCCATTTCCTTATGAAAGAGAGAGAGGAGAGAGGGACAGACAGAGCGACGGAGACACACAGAGTTAGCCCTGAAACTACAAGAGACACTGAATAGGGTCCCAACAAGGAAAGGAAAGTTAACGTACTTCCATCAGAACCGGCGCCCCACTTCAACAGCCCAGAGACCATGCTTTTGTCTGTTTTGTTTTTGTTTCTTTTTTGGAGAGGAACACACGGTCGCATTCCCCGCTCCTGAGGAGGTTTTGAAGAAGCCCACAAGTGATGGGCGTCACGGAACCTCTCAGCCCGAGGCCGGCAAGGGGTCAAGGATGCTCCCAGACTTCTCTGCTAGGGTGATTCTATTCAGTTTGCCCACCTCTGCCTGCCAGCCCGGGATCTTCTTGGTGGTCATGTGGCGCCGGGCATGCTTTGTCAGGTGGTCGCTCCGCATGAAGCGCCGGTCACACACAGGACACACAAACTTCTTCTCCCCAGTGTGAGTTCTGCGGTGGCGAGACAGTTCATCTGACCTTGCGAACTTCTTCTCACAGCCATCCCAGCTGCAGGTAAAGGGCTTCTCCCCTAGTGGAGGAACATATTAAAGTAAATGTATGTTCTCAGCGCCTTACCCAGACGCCCGTGCGGGCTGCCCACAGGTCAGTTCACCAAACCTCAGAAGAGTGGGCGGCTCAGAGATCGGCAAACCCTCCACAATGCATTTCTCCTGACCTGCAGATGCAATATGCAAGAGCCCACGGGTGTCAAACGAGGCTAATCTCTCACAAGTTTTACACATGCGCATGTGTGTAGCTTCCTGCTTTGTTTTTCTGATGGAGACTCAGGCAGCCCAGGCAGGTCTGGGGCTTGGAACCTAATTTAGTGCTGGAGTTACAAACATGTGTCACCACCCCTGGTTTTATAGATGCATTTAAAAATAAATAAAAACAAGTCTCTTTTACTTGGAGACTTTTTTGAAACAGGAGCTTACAATGTAGCCCTGGGTGGCCTCGAACTCCCTACATAGATCAGAGTTCAACTCAGAGACCCGACTGTCTGTTTTCTGAATGCTGGGATTAAAGGCATGCACACCATCCCTGTCATATCCCCCCTCCCGCCTTTTGATTTTTCGAGACAGGGTTTCTCTGTATTGTTTTGGAGGCTGTCCTGGAACTCGCTCTGTAGACCAGACTGACCTCGAACTCACAGAGATCCGCCTGCCTCTGCCTCCCGAGTCATGGGATTAAAGGCATGTGCCACCAACTCCCGGCCTCCCTCCCGTCTTTTGATAGGGTCTTGCTAAGTAGCCCAGGCAGGCTGGAACTTGAGAGATACTCCTGCAAACAGCCCTTACACCTAAGGAAGACACTTGAATTTCTGATTCTCCTAACTCTGCCTCTTAAGTGCACCACCCCCAACTTTACAGGATGCTGGCTACCATCCACCAATGTGGAAGAAAAATCCTTTAAGGGAATAATTCTTTCTGTCCCAGGATAAACTGCACACACCCCAAAAAGTCCTTCCAAGGGGCTTTAAGATTTCTTAGACTCATTATTTCACGTCCATATTTTTTAACACACTGACAAACAGGTTATATTAACTACTTCCCACATAGCTGACAAAAGCAAACTAAGGGAGTTTATTCTGGCCCGGTTGGAGGGTGCAGGCCCATCATGGGGGTTTGGGGGACAGCCGGTCATGCTTTGTTCACAGTCCAGAAGCACAGAGAGGTGAACACCGGTGCTCAGCTTGCTGTCTCCTGTTTATCCAGTCCAGAACCCCAGCTAACGTGGCGCTTCCCACCGTAGCTAACCTAACTTAGATAATCCCTCACAAGCGCACCAGGCTTGTCCACCAGGTGATTCTAGCTCCTGTGAGCCTGACGATATGAACAGTGGCCGAGGTCAGAGTGATGAAAAGACAAAGGTTTGCATTCTGACAAGACACTTTCGGGTTAGACGTGTTTAGTGTCTATGAGCGCTTCAGAGCAGGTGCCCCGAATCATATCTTCCTGGGGTTACAGAGGTAGGGAGCCGTCGGACAGATAGGTACTGGAGCCCTTTTCTTTAACAAACTCCTGTTCCAGCCAGCCAGCACAGGGTCAGGCCCCTCTCTGTATCCTGAAGCTTCCTTACCTGGCTGTGGCAATCACAGACTGCATGCACAATGATGACTCACTAGGCAGCTATGTACTGCTATGAGATCTGTCTCTACATGGATTTCCTATAGCAGGTAGCAAGTAATCAGTTTTGAAGAGACACTGACTCCAGCAGTTCTCAGAGTGGAGTTAACAAAAAAGTCCAGCAGCCAGGTTTCCTGTCCAGTGATTTCAGCATCTTCATGGAAAGCATGGGGTGGCTAACATGGTTGCACTATGATCCCAAACTTCACGCCCCGGAAATGTAATCGCAAGGTCATGCGACTGATACTTAAAAAAGGTCGCTGGTGGGGTCCTGAGCACTGGGATTAGAGTCCCAGGAGCAGCTTTGTTATAAAGCAAACTCTCTGGCACACTAACCAGGTGTTGTTCTCTGCCACACTGAGCCCTTAGAGATGCCAAGCGACACATGCTTTTAGACCAGCAGCTCCAGAGCCCTGAGCCTGGCAGACTGTCCTGTATTAGCTACTGTCAAAGCATCTGAAATCAGGCTCAGACAGCGCACTTCCTATGCCCGACCCCCTAAAGTCAGCAGCACACCCAATGCCCAGGAGCAGCTCCCAGACTGCCAGCCCTTCGGCACTGGATCTACAAAATTCTGTTTCCAGCCAACACGGAGTACCTGCTCACCTCACCTTCTTCACATGTAACTATTGCTCAGGTTGATGGAAGTACCCGAGACACTATCTTTATCTGAAATAAGCCCACAGGTTTTTATAAGGACTCCAATGAGGGCTCGTAATGGGAAAAGCAGTGTCTCTCAGAACCCTCATGTGCATTCAGATGGATCTCACTTCTCTGAGGAGTATGAAAGGAGCTGGCTTTATCTCAGGTTTGGAGGTTCTGTCAGTATTTCTACCTGGGGACACTGACATTAAAGTTCACCTGGATAGACAAAGCCACAACAAAACCCCTATACTCCTGAAGCATTCTACGATGTGAACTTTGATGATGTGGACAGACCTCGAAGTCACACTGATGTTTACGCTGAATATGAACACAGTGCCTATTGCAGCGAGGCACAGAGTACCCCCAAACCATCACAAGTCCCCGTCCTCTCCCCCAGCCGGTACCTGCTGACGGCCCCTCCCCTCCTCCACTGGTTGTCCTGCCTCTCTCAAGAGCTCAGGGGTCTTTCCTCCCCTGAGCTTCGAGTGTTCCCATCATACCAGACACCCCACCCCTTACCTGTGTGGGTGCGCAGATGGGCCTTAAGGTGGGAGCTTTTGAAGTATGTCTTCCGGCAGCCTGGGAAATTGCAAACATAGTTCCTCCTTCGGGAAAAGTCTACCTGAGGGGTACAGTTCTGGCTGGAGGCGATGAACATTGGCGCAGGGGCAAGGGGCAACAGCTTGGTATTCCCGATGGCCATGACACCGGACGGGCAGGTGGCAGGCTGGGGGAAGGTGCTCTGTGGCAAGACCAGCATCACGGCTCCCTGAGGCACGGATGGGCCCATGAACACAGGCTGGGGCACCGCAGCAGCTTGGGGTAGGATCGGCTTGACAGTCCCCGCAGACAACTGAGGAGGAGTCTTTAAAAAGGCTGAGAACAGGCTGCTTTGTGCAGCCACGGGGATCATTTGGCAAAGGACCGGGGGAGTGGAGACAGGGACAGAAATCAGAGGGGTGGTTTTCCTCGACGAGTCATTTTCAGAATTCTTTGGTGAGCAGGTCTGAATGGCGGCGGGCCATCCTGTCTGCTGGCCTTGGTAGGTGGGGAACGGGACACCGGACTTGTGCAAGCAAGGCTGACAGGAAACCAAGTTAGAAACAAGCAAACCATCTGCCAAGCGAGTGTCTTGCAAAGCTTCACGCTGGTCCAACATCTCTACTTGTCCTTCTCTGCTGCTAGGCGGTTGTTGCTCTTGAGCCAGGGCAGTTGGAAAGCACGAAGGAGCAGGACCCTCCCCAGTGTGACGGATCACACTGGTCATCACAGCCCTGCAGGAGGACCCTGAGGCTGGCTCCAGAGGCTCCCTCCTGCTCAGCGTTCTAGGGGACACAGTGGGGGATGAGGGGAGGGCGGTGACCATGCAACCTTTGGAATTAGTTACTTGGGAAGGAACAGGAGTCCCTGTCGATGGTTCCATGAGCTCTGGGCTCTGAGGAGGAGTTATACACTTCGAAAGAGAGAAAGAAAAGTGCCATGTCAAAGGTTGTTTGGTCAAAGGCGCTTCAAGGAGACTGTCTGACTGCACTGCTCCCACTGCCTTTGAGAAGGTGCATTTGGAGGGGACTGGGAGGAGCTGACAACCCAAGGGGTCTTTGGGGACCCCGCCATTCTTACTTCTTCCTATGTGGACTGCCCTTTCCCACCCATGCACACGCGTGTCTTGTTGGAAGGAAGGGTGGTGAGTACCCTACATAGCTCTGAAAAAAGCAATTTAACTAAAAGGACTGTAAAAACAAAACAAATGCACACTTTAAAATGAAAGCTTGGAGCTGGGCGTTGGTGGCGCACGCCTTTAATCCCATGACTCGGGAGGCAGAGGCAGGAGGATCTCTGTGAGTTCAAGACCAGCCTGGTCTACAAGAGCTAGTTCCAGGACAACCTCCAAAGCCACAGAGAAACCCTGTCTGGAAAAACCAAAAAAAAAAAAAAAAAAAAAAAAATGAAAGCTTGTTGTCAGGCAGCGGTAGCACACACCTTTAATCCCAGTACTTTGGAGGCAGAGGCAGGTAGAGTTCGTGGCCAGCCTGGTCTACAAAGTGAGTTCCAGAACAGCCAGGACTACACAGAAACACTGAAATTTCAGACTTTTTTAAAAATGATTTTTCAAGACAGGGCTTCTCAGTGCAGTCCTGGAACTCACTTTGTAGACCATGCTGGCCTCAAATTCACTGAGATCCGCCTAACTCTGCCTCCCGATTTCTGGCTCTTAAACCAAGAACACGGTGGTTCTCCTGAACCAAGCCTCTATGTACTGGCACCCAACCATTATCAGCCACCTTGAAAAAAAGCCCAAGCCTGAAGTCCATCTTCCCTCCAGTCCTCGATGCCACCCACCCCTCTCCAATTCTACCTCCCATAGCGTAGTATTCAGGCATCTGCACTGACATGCCCTTGCGTTTCTGACCGGATACAGCCGCAGCTGCAGACACTAAGCACCACCTGTGCACATTTCACTACATGCCCTTTTTAAAAGGGCCCTGCCCACCTTCCATCTTTCTGTCTCTCTCTGCTTCTCTGCCCGTCTCTCTATCTCTCCTCTCTCCCTCTCCGCCTCTCTCTTCTCTTCTGCTGCTGGTCTTCCTTCTCCCCTCCCCCCTTCTTTCCCATTCACTTCCCACCAATAAAAAAACCCCTTTCCGCCGGGCATTGGTAGCACACACCTTTAATCCCAGCACTCGGGAGGCAGAGGCAGGCGGATCTCTGTGAGTTCGAGACCAGCCTGGACTACAGAGCGAGTTCCAGGACAGCCTCCAAAGCCACAGAGAAACCCTGTCTCGAAAAACAAACAAACAAAAAAACCAAAAACAAAACAAAAAAAACCCCTTTCCACCCAAGCTCTGTTGAATGTCATCTTTCTCTCGTATGCCACTTTTTAAAATTACAACACACAGTCTTCAGTGCAAGTAGCCCAGGCCAATCACGTCTCAGTTTTATTACCATAAGCAATCTATAGCCTGACTTTTCCAACCCAAGAAGCAATGCCATAGTTGTGGTAAGTTAAAACCTAAAAATAAACTACTGGCCGGGTGTTGGTGGCGCACGCCTATAATCCCAACACTCCGGAGGCAGATGCAGGCAGATCTTTGTGAGTTCAAGACCAGCCTGGTCTACAAGAGCTAGTTCCAGGACAGCCTCCAAAGCCACAGAGAAACCCTGTCTCGAAAAACCAAAATAATAAATAAATAAATAAATAAAATAAACTACTGACTTATCATCTCCAATCCCACCAGGTGGCTGCCACAGAAGGCAGTGACATGTTTTTCCTAAGCTAAGGCTGTCTGATGTCAGGGCACATACTTTCTTTAGCTGCTTCCCACATCCTCATCCTAGACTGGGACAACCCAAGACCCTACCGTAAGACTCCCCAGACATCTGGTATACCACACCTTTCTGTAACCATCTTCAGGCTTTGTCCAATGGACACCAACCATCTGCAGCAAGCTATGAGTCACCAAAGAAAACATTTCTTAAGATACATTTTCACACCTTGGTATCCATACGAAGAGAGTGTAGGCAACTTCCTGGCTGCATCATTGTTAATCTCCTTACAAGTTCTTCAACACATTTTACCTAAGCTATTCTGGGCAGTTCACAGACACGCGTCTCTCCCCCACCTCCTCTTACCAGAGTTGAAAAAGAATGGAAGTCCTTTGGTAGGTCAGGTGCGGCTGTGTCCATAAGCACAGTGTTTGTGACGTCACCGGAATCAGAGACGGGTGTGAGGGGTCTCATCTGGGATCTCTGACCCCAAGAACTCATGCAAACGAGCGCTTCCACAGCTTCTATGTCTGTCTGCTCCAGGATGCTACACGTGGACCTCTCGCTGTCATGCCGTTTCCTCTCCAGGATTGACTCGCAGATGTCCATGATGTCAACCTAAAGGCAGCACGACACAGTGGCTTCTTAGTTGAGGAGAATACAGGGGGTAGCCTGACAGGCATGTAGTGCAGCACACTCACAAAGCAAGAGGCTCTGCCTTGGAATAAAAAGACTCACTTTCAAGCTCTGAAGATTTTGGCTAAGAAGCAGTTTCCACAAGACAAGACAAAGCAAAACAAAAAACCAAAACCCTGATTCTTTTTTTTTTTGGCTTTACGAGACAAACCAAAAATAAAAAAATAAAATAAAAAGGAGGCTGTCAGACCATCCGGACCTCGAACTCAGATCCGCCTGCCTCTGCCTCCCAAGTGCTGGGATTAAGGGCGTGCGCCACCACCGCCCGGCAAAACCCTGATTCTTAAAAAGGTTTCTAGGCTTCACTATTGCTCAGTAGTGGAATGTTTGATTAGCACGTGTGTGACCTTGAGTTCAACCCCCTACCAATATAAAATAAAAACAGGTTACTAACTTCAAGCTTCTGCTTGGGTAAATGATCAAGACTAACTCTAGAGGCACACATCAAAGTGGCTACTAGGAAGGTGTCACTGGAAGGATAAATAAACGAAGCAGCTAATGAGACTAAGCAGCCAGTTGGTGGGTGAGCTCTTTCTATACCAAAAGCCGCCAGGGTAGTGTCCCTGAGGAAGCATTACCCCAAGTTAATTTCCCAGCGGCCGAACCTGGGTTCCATGCAAGTACAGTCCACGGTGACTGCCTTTTTCCTCTGTAGATTCAGAAGCATGAAGTCACTTGCTACTAGTGAAAACTAGAGGAGGTGGGGTAAGCACCCCACACCACCTTTACAACCAGGAGCAAGCAGTAAGAGACTAGAACCCACCCCTTCCGAAAGAGAACCTTACACCTATAGATACATATTTCCACATATATTCTGAGCTTCGAAGCTTCCTTTGCAAAAACAAACAAACAACAAAAAAGCAGATCTCTGGAGTTCGAAGCCAGCGTGGTCTACAGAGCAAGTTCCAGGACAGCCTCCAAAACAATGCAGAGAAACCCTGTCTTGAAAAACCAAAACAAACAAAAACAAAACAGAAACTTCCTTTGTCCAGAGTCCCTTTCAGTAAACAGGACTCACTTTGCAAAGGGGCTTATCCATCGTCACAGGGGACCAGATTTGACCTCAAGTGGAAATATCCAGCCCACAGACTAGGAAAGGTCCCTAGAATCCACGTACTGCTGTGTTCTCCACAGACCTGCACGCCACTTCCTAGGCCCCCAACATTTCTGTCAGGCTCCACTCTCTACTCTGACTCCACACTGTGGCTAAACCAAGCCCTATACTCTGGCCAGGTCCCATTACCACGCCCCTTCTGTTTTGGCCCCGCCCCCCTTTCCCAGCCCCACCCCACAAGGCCACCAAGCCGCCACATCCCCACCAGACACATTCTTGCCTTGGTCCGGCTCACTCCATCCAGGTACTCCTGTCACTCTCCTGAGACACCTTAGGTTTGGCTCAACCCGCGGAGCCACCCCTACACTCCCACCAGACGCTCTCACCTTGCCCTCCCTTTGGCTCAGCCCTTGCCCCGCCCCATACACGCCCCCACCAGGTGCTCTCACCCCACCTCCTCACGTCGGCCCCGCCCCTTGCCCCAGCCCACACTTCCCCCAGGTGCTCTCACCCAGCCCCCTAGCTTTGACTCGCCCGCCCCCCCCATACCACCACCAGGTGCTTTCACTGTGTCCTTAGCCTTAGTCCCACATCGCCTCCAGGCCCTCTCGCCACGCCCTCGCTCTGGCCCCGCTCCCCACGCCCACGGACCGCTATCGCCACGCCCCCCGCGCCGCGCCCCTGCTTTGGCCCCGCCCCCCACGTTCCCGCCAGCCGCGCCCACACCCAGCAGCGGTCCTCCTCTGGATTCGGGTGACGTCATGGCTGGAAATAGCCGCGCCGGGCGGGGCCGCCGCGGACAAGAGACAAAGCTGGAGGCTGGCTGCCGCGCTCACACACCCCCCTCCCCACCCTGACCCCACCGAGTCGCGCGGTCCCCGCCGCCACCGGAGCGCCGCGCGCCAGCCTCGAGCGCAGCGCGGTGTCGCCATCCCTCCCGCGTCCCCCGCCTCGCCCCGCGCTCAGCCCCGTCACTCACTCACCGCGCGCGCGTCGCCCGGGCCGGAGGAGCCCGGCGAGTGCATGGTGCCGGACGGCCTTGCAGGCCGCAGAGCTTGCGGATCGGGAGCTCCGCGAGCGCGCGCGCGGCGGAGGCTGCACGTGTGCGGCGGACGGCGGCGTCCCGAGCGCCTGCAGCCGGCGCGCACCTCCGCCCTCCTTGCCGCGCGGCTCTGCCTCCGCGCGGCCCGCGAGGCGCGGGAGGGGCGGGGCGCCAAGGAGGGAGCGGCCCGGGGCGGGGCGCGCGGGCAAACCAAAATACACCGCTCCCTGCCGGGGGCGTGTCCTCCGCCGCCAGCCAATCGGCGCCCGGCCGGCAAGGAGCGGGCCAATGAGGGCCGCGGGGGGCCGCGTGATCGGAGCCTGGCTGCGGCGTGATCCGGCCGGGCGGGAGGCGGCACGTGTTTTGGTCCGGGCCGGAGGCGGAGCGTGAGGCCTGGAAAGTAGGGGAAAGGTCCCGGCGGCGGCGCGGCGGCAGTCGGCTAGCTGTAGTCGGGTCCCCTCCACCGCGGCGGCTGCCCGCTCAGGTCGCGCGCTGGCCCCACTCAGAGGACGGGTCTGGTAGGCGGGACTCAGGGCCGGCTTAACGCCGGTCTCTAATTTCTTTTAAGCCGTCCGCGGCTCCCTAAACCGCACCTCTGCCCAGGAAGAGGTTTGAAATGTCCTGCGTTTAGGGACATTCCCGCATCTGCTCTTTCCTGCAGGGCGCCAGACCTGCAGCTTCTGGGTCTGGCCTTCCCCTGTTCTAGCCTGCAGTTTGCTGCAACCTCCTGACGTGTGCCTAATGAGGTCTGAGCGTCCTTCACAGTGGCCATACAAAGGCCGCCGAACTCGGGGAGTCCTCGGGCCCATGTGAGAGCTGACCCAAAGCCGGGGTACCCTTTTTTTCTCCCTGGGTCCCTAGATACGGTTATCCATTTATGCTGCTCAGGTTTTTGAGAACGGGTCATACATGGCAGTGTGTGTGTCTCCCTCCCCACCTACAGTGCAGCAATAGGACACCCCTCCCCTAGTCGGCAGAGGCCTCCCTGCAGAGCCTGGATCCCGGTGGAGGTATGGGGAAAGCCATAGCTGATAGGAGTGGACTGGAGCCAAGCGGTAAGCTGCCTATCCTCACACAGGTGAGCAGGCAGAGCCCTGATCCTGAGCTGGCAAGGCTTAGGGTTCATAACTGAGTCCTCCAAGTTTCACCCTGGCCTGACAGTGGGATTAAGCGGCCAAAGAGAGGGAGCTTGTTGACGGTTAGCAGTAGGAGCGTTCATAGAGGAATTCACCATGTTTAACTGCTTTGGAGTTGAACACACATGGAGTTAGTCTTCTTACTCAGACTTTCAAATTGTTTTGTTTGTTGCCCCCCCCGGCTTTCTGACTCCCTGTGCCCACCCCGCCTACATTGCCCTCCCCTCCCCACCCCAGACATCTTTAAACTTTGTAGTGCCCCCCCCACACCTGAGCTCCTGCAGCGTTTCACTGTATGCTCCACGAGTTGGGAAATAATCTCCACAGTCAAATGTTAATAGTATTTGGGGGTGGGGCCTTTGGAAAATGATTGGGATTAAATAAGGTCGTGAGGTTTATTTTACTGGTTTTTCGAGACGGTTCCTCTGTATTGTTTTCGAGACTGTCCTGGAACTCACTCTGTAGACCAGGCTGGCCTCAAACTCACAGAGATCCGCCTGCCTCTGCTTCCTGAGTGCTGAGATTAAAGGCGTGCACCACCAACGCCCAGCGGTCGTGAGGTTTTATAAGAGAGACTAAACCGGGAGTTGGTGGCGCACGCCTTTAATCCCATGACTGGGAGGCAGAGCCAGGTGGATCTCTATGAGTTCGAGGCCAGCCTGGTCTACAGAGCGAGTGCCAGGATAGGCTCCAAAGCTACACAGAGAAACCTGTCTTGAACCCCCCCAAATAAAAAGAAAAGAAAAAAAAAAGACACTACCCGCCTTGCTTGATCAGACCACGTGACACTCTCCATGGCATCTAGCTCCAGCAGGAAGCCCTCCATCAACTGTTGAGCAGAACTCATGAGAGCTCTTGGGCTGCACAGCTGTGAGCCGAGTGTGCTTTTATATAGGAGGCGGGGAGATGGCTCGGTCGGTAAAGAGCTTGCAGTGCAGGCCTGAAGACTGAGGTGGACCCCCAGGTCCCACATAAGAAGCTTGGCGTAGGGGTGCACACTTGCACTCCCAGCTCTTGGGAGGGGCAGAGGGGCAGAACCCTGGGCTTCACTGGTCAAGTCAGGGAGTCCCACATTCCAGTGAGATACACTGTCTTAAACAAAAACAGGAATGACACTAGAGGCTAACCTCTGGTCTTCATATGGACACACACACACACCCTCTTTATAAACTTCCTGGTCTCAGGTGTTTTGTTGCAATCACACAAAAATAAACTAAGACATGGGTCAAGGCCTCCCCTGGGTCGCCTGTCACATCAACTGCTGTCTCCAGGGCTCAGCATGTGTTATTTACTGGGTGGATCCTGTGACATTACTGGCACATCTCCCTGGGGAGGCCTCTTCCAGTATACCTGTGGGCCCAAGCTGACCTCAGTCCCTCACTGCTGTCTCCACCTGAGCTCCCATAGCCCTTTGCATGGTCTGCAGCTTTTGTTTCTTTGTGCAGGGTCATCTGTCTGCCTCTTCTGGGACAGAGAGCTTGGCTGGTTTACCCATGTCAGCACATGGTAACTGTTGGTTTAACGTTGACTCATTCGGTCAACTTTGTGAACCATGGTGGCTTCTGTGCTGCCCCCCCCATAGGTGCCTCTCTCATCCAGCATCCTTGGGAGGGAAGTTGTGTCACCCCACTTTGATGTCCTCACTCAAGTAGGACACCCTGGACACCCTGCCCCTTGAGGCCTTGCATCTCCAATGTGGCTAACCTTCAACTCCTCCCTTTCCCGTGTTTGTTCTTTCACCAAGGACATCACTGTTTCTTCTAAAACATCATGCTTACTGCTCTTACCACTCACCCTTCCCCTCGTCCGGGCTACTACGCAGACACACCTGAACGACTGTCAATCGCTCCCCAGCAAGTCTCCCTAGCGAGACTGACATCTGCCCTCTCGCCACTGGGTGGATTTTCCTAAGGTGGAAAGTGTACCGGACCCATACTCAAAGCCCCAGCTGGAGTCCACACACTCAGACTCACCCAGGAACACCTGACTCTTCTGGACCTGACACCAGCCCACACGATCCCCCACCCCCATTGCTTCCCACATTGCTCTCAAGCTCTTGCCTTCCTGCCCTGTGTTTCCGTACAGAGCCCTCAGCCCTGGTGTTAGGTCAAGTCACTGCCCTTGCTTACTAGATAGGACTCCTCCTGGGTGGAGGGAGGCAGTTCCTGTCTGAGTCTGCAGTATGGCTCCCTGGCAGCTGTTCAGCACAAAGCCATGTGCTTGGCCTCTGAATCCAAATCACTTCTCTGGCAGTGTGACCTTGCCCAAGTCTTTCTGCCTGCCTGCTTCATTCTTACCGGAGAGAAGGCAATGGCTATCCTGGGACCTGGAGTTTGTCTCACTCCAGACTGTTCTCTGGATGGCAGGGGTAACCAGGGATCATGACTCTCCAGGCATAAGTCCCAGGTCTACCCATACGTAGCCATCTTCCAGATAGTCGAGCAGGCTTCTGTTGCTGCCAAGCTCCTGATTGTGACCTTACAAGAGGATATTGATATGTCTGTAAGCTGAAGGACGTCATAAGACCCTTGTCACCCAACACTCAGAGACAGTGTGATCCAGCAAGTAAGACTGGGCATAGCTATAGATAACTTTAGAGAGATCATTGTCCCTCCAGTCAGAGTGCCCGACTCCTGAGTGTGCTTACAGTCTACCCATGTGTACATGTAGTCAGTCTTCCGAGCCTGCCTTGTTGACTACATTAATGTATTGGAGTTTATTGCCATTGATCCATAAAAATCAACCCTGTTCTTGGCAATGGTTATATAACACTCCATTATGGATGTGTTATGAATTGTTTAACACTTCTGGTTGAATAACCAGGACATTTAGATTGCCTGCCACTTCCCAGTGTATCCTGTTAGTCCACTGTTTGCCTGCATGCAAGGAGAGCTACAGGATCAGTTATCAGCATGGGGATTGTTGGGTTAACTGCTTTGGAGGTCTCTGTCTTCCCTCCCCCACATCCTCTCTCCTCTGTCTCTGTCTGTGGATTTTACTGAAGCATAGCATACTTTCAGGAAAGCACAAATCATATGCACAGATGAGTGAGTTTTTACAGGATGAAGTCAGGATGTCACCAACACCCAGAGCAGGAAACACTATTCCTAGAATCTGGAAGCCCCCCAAGCTTCCCTGGGCCACCATTCCATCCTCTCTGGCCCCCTGACCAGCACAGCCCTTATTATGAACAAACAGCATTGATAACTTTCTTATGTGTTTTGTAACCTTGACAAATAGACTTTACAGCATATGAAATTTGGGGTCTGGCTTCCTTTGCTCAATGCTGTGTCATGCAAGTGGGTTTTGTACGTGTATCTGTGTGCAGTTGTTTGTAGATGTATGTGGGTGGGCATGCATCAGTGTGCACGCATTGGAGGCCCCACATCAACCTTGGGTGATGTTCTTCAGGAGTCATCTGCCTTGGCTTTTGAGACAAGTTCTCTCACTGGGATCTGGGGCTGGACAATTAGACTGGGTTGGCCGGCCAGCAAGCCCCAGGGAACTGCCTTTTCCTTAGGGCCAGGACTACAATGTATGCCAGTTTTTTACATGGGTTCTGAGGGCTGTGCAGCAAAATATTTCTGATTGAGCTATCTTCCCAGCCCCCACATTTGTTTCCTTCTAAAAATCACTGCTGTAGTGTAGACATTAGGATCGTTTACAGTCTGATGCTATAATTAATAAAACTGCTATTAAAATTCTTATACATGTGCATGCATTTTTTTCTTTTCTTTTGGAGACAGAGTCTTGGATTGTAATCCAAGCTGGTCTTGAACTCATGGCAATCCTTTTGCCCTAACCTCAAACTTAGCCAAGATTTCCTAACTCTCCTGAGACAGACTGTGGCTGTATTAGGATTGCAAGTATATATAACTACAAATGACTTTATACATGTATGCATTTTATGCACAAAGATATTGTCAAGTTACCCTATGCTATACTGTTATGACCATTTGCCCGGCTGATCACTGTAAAGCCAGTTCCAGTAAAAGT